TCCCCGCCCCTGCGCACGGCCGGTTGTGCCGGAGCGCGCTCCTGGCACTCTCGCCGGCCTCCGAGCGCCCCTCGCCCACCCCCGCCCCGGGGGATGCCCGCCCACGGCCTCGCGGATCCGGCCGGCCCAGGCCCGGAGACCCGGCCACGCCACCCCTCTCCCACTTTGCGCCCTTTCCCGGCTTGTTTTGCAGGGACAGGGGTGCGGTCCGCCCTCCGCCTTGCTCCTCCAGCCCTGCCTCCGCCGCGGCTGCCCTCCTTACCCGCCTGCAGCCCGGTCTCGGCGACGTCGCCGGCAGGGCCGCGCTCGGCCCCGCCGTCGTCGCCCGTGGGGGAGGAGGGACAACTGTGGTTGTGGGAGCACTTGATGTCGCGGAAGAACTTCTGGGTTTCGCGCAGGTTCTGCCGCAGCCGGCCCAGGTAGCGGCGGTAGCGGCCGAAGCCCCGGCACAGCTCGCGGATCATTCCGCCGCCGCCCGGGCCGGGACCCGAGACGGGCTCGCTCGCCCACGGCACCCCGTCGCCCTCCATCGCCCCGGCCCGTTCTGTCCTGGCGGCTCGGTCCCCGGCCCGCTGGCCCCGCTTCCCTCCTCCCCGCCCCCCAGTGCTTCGGGGAGGAGGAATCCACCCCCTGACGCCCCCGCCTGCAGTCGGCCGGGCTTCCGACCTCCGTCACCGCCGTTGAAAACAAACCAACCCGCAGTGCGCCGCCGACGGAACCTTTATCTCCACTCTCCGGGAGAGTGAGGGAAGGATCACTGGAGGGCGCAGGCCCTGCGCGGGATCTCCTGGGATTTGTAGTCTGGGCGGGGGCGGGCTCCGAAACCTGGAGACCGTGGACGGGGCTGACTCCCGGTGGAACCTCGCCCGTTTTTGTGCGCACACGCTCTCCTCGTTTCAAAACGTGTTCCCGCGCCCTGCATAGAGAGGAGAGAGAGGAGGCTGCAGAATCCCGCGTCAGCAGAAGTGGGGTGTTTTCGTGAAATCAGAGCAAAACATTTCAATAGCAGAGAGAAGGAAGGAAACAAGACTGAGGCCAACGATGTCTCCATGGCTACCCTAAACGGTTCTCACTTTCGGGATACAGTAGATAGTGGAGAATCGACTGAAAATACCCTAAAAATAGGGAAACGGTTCTTGTTTATATTGCGCCCTCTTTCTCTCCAGGTGTGGAAAAGGGGGATGTGAAAGGGTCGTTAAAGAGCTTTAAACCGAAGTCCATTGGTTTCTGGAAGTAAAGGGACTGGGCTGGGTTAGGGGAAGTTGAGGTTTGCAGTTCCAAACCAGTTCTGATTATCTTAACTTGGCTTCTGCTAATAGAGACTTTTATTGCCACAGACTGCCACAGAGCCCTGGACACAATTACAGAGGAGACAAAACTTCACAATCACCTCCTTTTCACCTCCTGCTTTCTCTTCCCCTCTTCTCCAGGCACAGAGTTTTCCTGTCTTTCTTGCTGTGCAAAGATTCCCCTCTTTCACCCAGGCCAGACCTCTGCTGGATCGTGTAGTTCAACTGCATTTAAGAGGAGACTTGAGTTTGAGTTTGAATGCCTCCAGCGTCTTGTCTCGGGATCCATGAAATAAGGGTCTAGGCTTGTTGATCTTGCTTCAAAATGTTTGCTTCTGTCTCCCAACCTCTCATCCCTTGAGTGCAAGGGCTCTTAGCAGAGTGATGTCCTGATAATTGGGTTAATTCAATGTTAAAATGTGAGGGGGCTTTTAGTATTTTATGAAAAGGGGTCACTGGTTCACATGAATCTCTGCTTGGTAGGTGGGTGTGAAGGACTACAGGTCTGGAGAGAGCCTCAGACTCTTTTGCGCTCCTTCCCATTTACTTACATATTCTCCACCAGCCACTCCTCATTTTTTGCAAGACCCCCATGCAACCTCTAAAAAACTCAGTAAAACACAAATGAAAATACAAAACGGAACGTTTAACACAAGATGGCTGATACTATTTCAAAGAAGCAGCAGCAGCGAGGTAGCAAACCAGTGTGTGAAAATTTTGCCACAATCATTTCATTTTTTTTTTAATGTTTCTTTATTTTTGAGAGACAGAGAATATGAGCAGGGGAGGGGCAGAGAGAGGGGGGCACAGAGAATCGAAAGCAGGTTCTGCACTGAGAGCAGTGAGCCCTATGCGGGGTTGAAACTCACATACTCTGAGATCATGACCTGAGCTGAAGTCAGACATTCAACTGGCTGGGCCACCCAGGCGTTCCTCCACGCACAATAGTTTCTAACAAAGAAGATCAGATAAGAGAGTATTTGGGCTAGAGTTGTCCAGAAAGGGATTTGGGAATTAATAACTATCTTGAAGAAGTAACATTTGGAAAGGTGGAAGTCATGAGGGAGAGCATTATGTTAGGTAAAGGCCATGGAGTTCATTCTTTAAAAAACTATTCATTAGTAGTTTATTTTATTTTATTTTTAAGTTTATTTATTTATTTTGAGAGAGACAGAGACAGTGCAAATTGGGGAGGGGCAGAGAGGGGAAGAGAGAGAGAATCTCAAGCAGGCTCCATGCTGCCAGTACAGAGTCTGA